ACAAAATTTTATACCCACAAAATATAAGGCATATACGGTATTAATTTTAAAAACCTTATAGCAGTTAGCAATCTCTTGCCCGCATCCTTTATGTGAAGTAGGACACAAAGACACAAAGTAAAGTAGAGAGAACCTCTATATACAGTACTGCTCAGCTATAAGTTTGTGAGTGATCTCCAACATTATCTGCCTCTGCCACTAGCTCAATAACTACACTAGTGCACCACAAAACGGGATAAGTACATGATGTACATGATAATTACACGATACAGGCACTACCTTCACTAGTGCAGCTTGAGTGCATAGACAAGCTGCATGTGTAGTCATTATAATGCCAGATTTACAATATGACGCTAGTCCTGATGTTATGTTGACGCTGGAGTTGAATCTGGTTCAACTTCATCGTGAAGCATGCGTCAAAAGGTCAAATCACCTACGCTTTTGATTAAAAATTGATGGTACGTTGGTCTAGCCTAGCGTCATATTGTAAATCCGGCTTAAGGCCTCGTTTACACGACGACACTAGCCTAATCTGCATCCTGCATCGTTTTTGCTATTACTGTTTTCAGGTGTTTACACTAATCCAGCAGCTGTGTTTTTATTGGACTTTATCATTTTGTTTATAGAATTATCCGTTTTGGTATTCATTTTTCTTTTTTGTTCAGATTTGATATGCGTTTTCTTGTGTTTTAGTGTAAATGAGACCCTTATCCGACTAAAAATACATCCGTTTTACTTTAAAACATAGTCGTGTAAACCAGGCCTAAGTAAACTTATAGCTGAGTGGTACTGTATGAGTCTTAATACCGTAAGTGCCCAGCAATGCATGCAAGGTATTATAGGAATATTTTATACTTCTATACACTTGTTTTATGTTACATTTAATGTGCATGTATAGTACTTGTCTACTGGCACTCCATTACACTACGCTGTTGAGCATTGTAAAGGTGATCATGTAACTGACATTATCAAGTTATTAATAACTAAAGGAAATGCTGATGTGAATGCTGGAAATAAGGTAAAGTTATGAAATCATCATTTCTACATTTTATTTTATGATTTTAGTGGAGCAGAACTTCATTGTTTGGTGCTATTAAGAATCGTAACAAAGAAGCTGCTGATATTCTATTAACTAATGGAGCTAAAACTGATGTTATGGGGGTATGCATTTAATTTTATATACGCATGTAATGCATACTACTGTGTTGTTAACAGTTTTTCCAAAGATACAAACCAAAGGTTCATGAAATTAGCTTTTACAAATTTCCACTATTTAGCTATCATCTTGTACCATATTCCACAAAATTTAATTTCATGAGTGTTCAAGAAATTCATAAATTCCTTATCCTTGAAAAGGCACTATATTTAGTTATTTACGTGTGTACAATATGCAAAATTTTACTTTTATAGTATAATGAAACTCCATTACACTATGCTTGTCGTTTTTGTGAAGCTGATATTATCAAATTAATAATAACTAAAGGAAAGGCTGATGTGAATGCTGTGGATAAGGTAAAGTTATTAATAAGTACTCATTTCTAATTGTATCATTTTGTGTTGTATTTTATAGGAGAACAGAACTCCATTGTTTCATGTTGTTAAGTGGAGTAGTGAAATTGTTAATATTCTATTAACTAATGGAGCTAAAACTGATGTTGTGAATAATGTAAGATTGCCATGTACATGCATATTACCTACATAATACTTTGCACTTTACCTTTATTTACACTATTAATTGTTACTGACTTTCAACATGTGTACTGTATTTTTGTTTGAAGAAAACATTAACTGACTACTTTTTGTTTCTTGTGGGTATAATATGTGGATTTATTTAACAGGAAATTAAGATTTTGACAAAAGTTTTTGACAGACAAAATGTGGAGCGACATAGTAATGATAGTATAGTAGTCTTCTAGCATATCCCAGCACATACAGCATCTCAATTGTCCATTATATAGAGTCTCACTTTTAATGCTAAATTTATTGTAATCTAAAATGTGATTCTTATAAAATAAAGTTCAGCTGAACAGTAATTTTGCAAAAGAGATTTTTTTTAAAACTTTAATCATTAGTTTTGTTGTTTTAGATGGCTTGTTAACTGTAGCCTCACATTCTAATTATTATTATTTATTTATCTAGTTTGGTAACACTCCTCTGTTACTAGCAATTGAAAAAGGTAGATCAACTGAAGTTATCAAATTATTGATTACTAAAGGAAAAGCTGATGTGACTGCTGTTTGTGAGAAAGTAAGTATAAAGGTCAACAATCAAAATTTGAAGTTGATTCACTTCTTCACATCATTATTATGTTAAATGCTATGAGAATGCATTGCTTATTATTTTTATGTAGTATCATATCAATTCTAAGCTATCTAGATCTGAAATTGCTGAGTTATTGATCACTAAGATGCCAAAGCTTCATTCACCTGAATCAAATAGGAGTGTGAGTTATAATATTGTACGTTCACTGTACATGTAGATATGGCTTGCTAGTGAATTTAAAAATAGCCATT